GATGTCCATATGCTCAAGGTTCTAGCGTGGACTCAGTAGCACTCCAGTGCCTCAGCGGTAAAAGAGACACCTGACCGCCTTGCTGTCTGTACCTTTGCGAGGGCAGTAACGCACAAGTTACATCTCAGGGGGGGGGGGCGAGTTCGAGTTCAGTTCGAGTTCCTGTTCAGTTCGAATTCAGTTCGAATCCAGATCTTTTTTTTTGCTAGGGGGGGAATTCGACTTCAGTTCGAGTTCAGGTTCAGTTCGAGTTCAGTTCGAATCCAGACCTTTTTTTGCTAGGGGTGGGGAGTTCGAGTTCAGTTCGAGTTCAGTTCTGAACTCGTGACGCGGGGAGGGGCGAGTTCGAGTTCAGTTCGAGTTCCAGTTCAGCTCGAGTTCCAGTTTATAGTTTGATTTCACAGTCGGGAACTGCAGTTCGAGTTCAGTTCGAGTTCAGTTCGAGTTCAGTTCGAGTCCAGTTCGAGTCCAGGTATTTTTTGCTACGGGGGGGGAGTACGAGTTCAGTTCGAGTTCTCTTGGGGTACATTATGAAACACTTCGACTCTCCGTATCTTATCCTTCGATCCAATTGCTTTTTCATCCTTCTCGTCCTTTTCCTTGTTCTCTTGCTGCCTAGCTTGTTCTCTGTCTTCGTCTCTCATCTCCCTCCACGTTTGGTCTCCTTCCGTGTACATGTACTCTAGATCTTCAAGGAACTCTGTCCTTCCAGGATAGTCCTTCAAGTAATCCAAGATTTCTTTGACCATATCATTCTGATCCTTGATCTCATTCCATGACGCGCGAAGTACATTGGTACGTCTCTTGATTTCTTTTCTTCTTGCGCAGTCAAAACACTTCCTTTCTTATGCCTCAACTGCGTGCGGACAACCTAGCAGCTTTCCACAGAATGTTCTCTCGCTGTTCTTTCCTTGGCATTCCTTCTTTGCTGTCATCTGAGTCCTACGGCCCTTGTTCAGAGCTACATTGCACACAAAATTGGCAACGGGTAAGATGCGATCTGAGGATGATATAGTTAAGCCATCGGCTAACTCGGCCTTTACTAGATCAATTTCTACTTCCTCTTCAGGTTTGATAGGGGAAGTTCTGGGTTCTTCACCTCCACGTTCAGATGCTGAAGAACGGCCTGGACTACTGGTACAACTAGTATCAGGAAGGCTAGAGTCAAAAGAGTCCTTCCTACGCCTACTCAAAGGAGGTGTCGGGGTATCCCAAGCCCCTTCAAGTTTCAACCCATCAGGGAACCTGATGCACTCCTATTCTGGGGTGAGTTTAGACCTGAGTTCGAAGGCCCCTCCTGCTGCGTCAGCTAGCGGTCGGACTTCAACGTCTCGACCGCGCTGCAACGTCTGAGGTCCCTGGCGATCCTTCCCTCCAGCATAGCCATGGTGGCCTTTCGGTCCACCCTTGTTACCATGACCCTAGGGTTTCCTCCCCCCTAGGTCGACCGCTCGAGGCACGAGCGCTGGGCCAGCCTTGCCACTATAAAGTAGAGGTTCTCGATCCCCTCCTCGTTAAAGGGCGGAGGAGGTTGATCCATGTCTACATCGTAATCCTGAATCGACACATAACCACCCTTATACACAAGCACTGTCTTGCGCCACATAGACAGTGAGTTATCATAACCCCATGCATGGGTGTTATATCTTGTCCCGCGTTCACCATCGCAGATTACGTCAAAGGGTGTAGTTGATATTGCGATTCGGAGGAATCGGGCCGCGCCAGCCATTCTTGGTCCGGTCGCCGCCAGCCGCCATCAACTCCCTCCGGACGCGATTGCAAACATCAATCAGCTGGTCCTTCAAAAAAAACCGCAGCCCACGGATCCTCAGTGAGGCCCCTCTCTGGAACATTCACGCCGGCCACAGGGTCCGACATAGTGCGGCAGCAGGGGCAGTGGCACAGGAGGGCCATCGCTTGGAGCATTTCGTACTTCGCCATTGCTCTGTCAGAAACCAAACACATGTGGTGGAGGCTGATGGCTCCGCCGGGCGTTGTACTGGAACGGTGGCTGGGGTCCACAATACCCCGGTAAGGTGGGTTGCCCACGCCCGTAGGGTCGGCCCGTACAAATCAAAAAGGCCGCATGGAGACAAGTGTCTAGGCCCACAGAACGGTGCCTGCTAGAGGCACAAAAAAGTACCACGCAAAGTGGTCTCCCCTGCTCGAGGCACTTGCGTATCTGACCCTAGATCTGGCTCAGATATACACAATCCTGCTCTGGAGGCAAGCAGGTTGCTAATGATGGCATGACGCCTTCCGACGTGTTGCGGCTCCTCCTGCCTCATGGCGCATGGGCCTAAGGTCCCATACCGATATCGCCCACCCCTCCCGCGTGAGCTCCTTCGGGAGTTTGGGCTTCCACGGCCACGCCAGAGAGTTCTGGGTGAAGCCCTCTTGGACTTGCTACCCTTTCCGGCTTAGCGGAAACCAGGTCGAGGATTCTGTTTTGCGAGGGATTTACCCTCTCGGAGATGGACCCCGGAGTAGTGGTCCGCATGGATCTTGGAGATGCTGTCGAAGCTTTTGGAGTCTTCAGCGCAAGCCTTCACCACTAGGGCTTCCTGGCGGGATAGCCCACATAGCGCTAGCAGAAGTTCGACACGCATCGGCTCCGAAAGCTCGATGGTGGGGTCTAAGGTGCGGAGTAGCTTCCACCATCGTCTAGACACATACGACAGCATGGATTCTCCTGATTGGCGGGAGAGCACGCCTTGCTTCTGCTCGGCGCGGAAGAGCTCCCTTGCTTCTTCCGTCGTGCGGGGGAATAGGAACTCTCGCATGTTCTCTACAAAGGATCGCAATCCCCCTGGTGCGGTTAAGGACTCGACTCCGATGTCCCGTGGCAGTTCGAAAGCTTCATCACGAAGTCCTTGCAGGATGCGATGGACCATCTCCGTCCTTGCCTTGCATGCATAGGACATGGTTTCATCCATGTCTCCGCTCTGGGATGACCTGGACGAAACACCGCATTTCTTGGATCCCTTGAGACCCTTCAACTTAGATTTGGTCAAGCCTTTCCCCTTGCCAGGGGAAATGCTCGCCTTCTCAGCTGCACTCCCGCTTTCGTCGTCGGGAGTTTCCTCTTCCTCATCCGCAGGCTCGGTATGAGGTTCATCATCAGCCAGTTGGTCTGATTAGTCAACATCTTCGGCGCTCGCAGCTGCCGATGCGGTACCCGTCTTCTTCTTAGATCGGATAGCGTCTTCGTAGAGCTTCAGGCGCATCAGCGTCCTGAACTCCCAATAATGAGGCTGGGTCACGACTGTAGATGTATGACTGATCTGGTCTCCGAAGGAGTACCAGAGACTCCGATCCTGGGCTGGTACCGAGGTCCAGCTACAGACATGGCTCGAAGTGAGCAGTAGTCTACAGTAAGCTAAGGGGCAAATTACTGGTTCGAAGATAGGGATCGCCCCGCCCGGAGAACAAGGCGGTACCTACCCTGCCGGATACAGGTGCTGCCACCTGCTCCGCTACCAGTATCGGTAATAATAGGAATAGTTACGGATCACTGCGAAGCACTTTTGGGCTCAAGGCGCCTGCGACAGTCACGTGCAACACTGTACAAACTGATCTAGGTTATCTACACTGACAACATGGAGAGATTCACAGCAAGTAAGCCTGCCAGCGAGCTATGAACTGAAGGCGCTTTCCACAAGGCAGCATGAGACTGCTTAACTCCAAGCCAGGTTTCTGTGTGCCCTAGGCGCTTTCCTCAAGATGGTAAGGGCTTCTGCACTTGCCAGCCCTAGGTTAGCCCTTCTGTAGGTGCCCAAGTTTCACTCAGAGAGCTCGGATACCCGGCCAACAGGACAACTATGTAACAAAAAGGAAATTTGGGCCTGATTGAAATAGTCACAATCCTGTTGCTTTGCTATCAGTCCATGTACAGGTCATGTTTACACAGTTGTCTGTGATATGCCGCTCTCTCAAGGTTCTAGGGAAACTATACTCCAGTAGCGCGTAGAGTGGTGAAAAGGAAGGAGACGCCCGCTCGCCTGTCAACTGTGCACGGCAGTGAGGTAGTTCACGCTCGGGCCAATCTTAACTTGGTAGCGGAGCTCTCCAGAAGAGGCTCTGACCACTCAGTACCCCTCGAACAGGGGGCTCGAAAGGACAGGGCTAGCTTTAGGGAGGGGGGGGGCGGGCATCATCGGCACCATTTGAGTAAAAGACCTTCTTCCCCTTCTGAACTATAGCAAGAAGCAAGAACATCGTTTTTACTGAAGCTTCTCGTGATCTGGAGCATCATGAGGACAATCAGTTTTGGTTTCGTGAAGGGGGACCCCAGGGCGGCCTTTGGCGCCAGGCCCGAAATAAAACCAGCATTGAAATCGATAGCTCTCTGGCTGATTTCCAGATCTTGTGTGCCCCTACCACCAATACGCAAAAAAAAAAAAAAACTAAAGTTTGGATTCAAGGCTTTCATGATAAAGGATCGAGCCCTTCAAGTCCTGGTGTAGCAAGTCCCGAAACTGCAGCCTTCACGCACTGCACGAAGGCATGCACTTGTGGCCATCATTGAACATTTAAAAACTTAGGCGTGTACCCGGGAATTGAGCTGACTGGCCTTTGATCTCATGCAAGCTTCCTTTGATCTCATGATGTTCCGCTCTCAAGGCTGACAGCGGCTCACAGGCACGCACGCCAGGGTGAGGAAGGAAGCGTCAGTGTGCTCGTCAAAGACAACTGGAGACGAAAGATGCAAATGTCAAAGGCACCTTGCCTTTTTTGTCACAAACTGCGGGCCTGGCCATAGCTCGACCTCCGAAGCATCTGCATGGGCCTGCACCAACAGCTTGCTTTTTAAGGTTTAACGTTTCAGCTTCGCTTCGTCAGTTTTCCGATGCCTCGGCCTCGAAACCATAACTACAGAGACCTGAGGCATTGAGGCATGCAGTGCTTGCAGTGCACGGCTGCCAGTGAGCGCTTCTCCATGGCACGCACGCAGGACAGAGGCACTGCAATCACCATCCTACAGGACAAGGGAGCCAAGACGAGCCAATTCGGAAGTTGTGGACTGCATTGATCTGCATTGCATGCTGCCTCGAGATTCTCCAGCGAAGCTTCATCGAGACTCCTGTGACATCTTGCCGACAGGTACAAGCAATGTGCTCAGATTTTATGGAGTTTTGCATAGCTCTGCTAAGCTGCTGAAGCAAAGCTTCTGGAGGCACACCAATGTGATCAGCCATCCAGGTCAGCATGGACCTTGCCATGCCCTGGCAGATGAGGTGGCTGATCAGGAGGTGCCAAGCAGCCAAGCTTTGGGGAAACGACCTGCAGAGCTTGGTGCAGTTCCGCAGCCTCTTGACTCAGGCGGCCTGGGACCTCACACGCTTCACATCACTTCGCTTAGCTGCGCTTTCAGCCAGCATATTCCTGTGCCTGCGGTGCAGGGACTGTGCGGCCGAGACCGGCAACAGCATGGACCTCCAAAGCGGTAGCTTTCGGCCGGAACTTTTTTTGTGACTTTTTTCTATGTTTTGTTGATATTTCTTTATTTTTGGTGGTGTGTTCGGGAGGGAGGGTTGGGGACATGAATCGAAGGACGCCTCAAGCGACAGCGCGATTCTGATGCAAAAACTGCAAAGACTGATGACAAACCATGAACATCATGAAAAATCATGAACATTACGGAAAATGATGGAAAATGATAGAAATATGATGAAATTCTAGAAGAATCATGGAAAATACTAACAAAAATGATTGACGATTCTGAAAGATAATGAAATACAGACAAGGATATTTAAAAAAAAATGATAGAAACATCAGGAAAATAATGAAAATGATACATAATATGAATGATAATAGAAAATAATGAAAAAGTATGAAAATGATGATAAATGATGAGAACTGACCAAAATGAAGACAGCTATACAATAAAAAGAAATCATGAACAATGATGACAGATGATGAAACATAATGAAATTAATGAAAATACTGAAAATGATGAAAATCATGAAAATGATGAAAATGATGAAAATGATGAAAATGATGAAGAGGAATCATGGTAATGATAAAATATGATGAAGAAAATGAAAATACTGAAACATGATGTTAAAAATGAAAATGATGAAACATGATGAGGATGACATTGATGGAAACAATGGAAAAGATATTTTAAAAATGAAGCCTGATGTTGAAAAATGATGCAACATTATGAAAACCAAAAGAACGATGAGAACATTTTAAAACAAGGCGAGGGGTTGGGGCCCCACCCCTATTTGCAAACAAAATGATCTGCATGACTCCAGCAAGCTGGATGGCCTCACATAAAAAGGGGAGGGGTTCGGGATCATGGAAAGTAATGAGATGACTTAAAATCATAACAATGGCAGGCATGGATGGCCGTAACGAAGGCGCGCGCAGTGGGCGGGGGCGCAGCACCACCCATTTGCAAACAAAATGATCTGCATAGCCTCCCTTATTGATCATCTACTACTACGACTACTGTTACTTCAGGAAAGTACAGAAAGCGGGAAACCACGGAGCCAGAAATCGAAGAAGGCAGAGAGCCGTAAAGCCAAGAAGCTGAAAAGCCAAAAAGCCAAGAAGCCAAAAACCAAAGCAGCCAACAGGCCGGTCAAAGAAATTATGGAAATGACGGAAAATTACTAAAAACACATGAAGATGATTTAAAAAAAAAGCGGAAAATCATGAAATATGAAAGAAAATCTGTTAAGAATAATGAAAATACTAAAAAATAGAAAAACTAATAGAAACATGGATGAAAAATAAATCAAAAATCATGAAAATTAAAGAAAATGATGAAAAATTATAGAATACATACAACTGATTGAAATTATAAAAAAATGCCAAAAACTGAGCACGCTTTTCGATAAGCAACCCTTTAACAAAATCAAGAAGTCAATGAAATCTGTCCCAAAAAAAGGCACTCCGTAGTTTTCCGAAGATCAGGAGGGGCATTGGGACCTCCAGGAAACGTGCGGCACCGCCAGCAAGCTCTCGGTAGCCAACAACCTGTCAAAAGATTCTCAAAGCACAAATATTGAAAGCTTCTTAACGACCTCTTTAAGAAGCTCTTTTTCTCCATGCATCTTCTGTCGGGCCTTGTCTCGGTAAAGCCGCAGTCGGCCAAGAGCGCAGCGCTCATCACGCGGGCGGCGGAAGAACTGCCCAACATCATTTGCAAACTTCGCAAGCTGTCGGAAACTACTGCCAAGGTATCTGCACGCAAATTTGTGTACCTTCTCAGCCAAGTCCTGCAGATTCCAGGGCTACACTGTGGCCATAAATCCGAGTCCTAGGAAGATATCCTGCATCCTGGTGAATTGGTGCTTGATGGACGGCGGAGGCTCCTACAAGGTAATCTGAGGACGCGGAGTGTAGCCAATTACGTTTGCAGTCACCAGTACAACCCAGCCGTGAGCTGCCAGAACCTGCGAGCATCATCTGCTACTACGTACGATGCGAAGCCCGTGAAACCTGCCTTGCACATTTCCACTCTGGTGCCAGCATCGCGGGTAAGCTGATCCCATGCAAAGATCCATGTGCGTGCAGGGCGCGCAGGGCGCGCAGGCTTCTGCCTCCACATGCACGGCTTCAGAAAGCTGCTGGTATCACTCAACGAGGCTAACGAAGCTGATGACATGTCTTCAGCCGCTGTGTACTTAGTGCCTGAAGGACGGAAAGCATCTGCTCCAGCAAGCAAAAGCGTCCAGCTGTTCGCGTGAAGAACTAGGGACCATCTCAAAAGAGCGCACGAGGAGCTGATGAGCCAGACAGAGGTTTGTGCAAAATAGCAGGCTCTATGGCATGGAACGTCTGTTCTGCAAAGCTTCAAGTCAGGAAATCTGTACCACGTATGTGGACGGAACGACCTACAGCGCAGGTGTAAGTTCAGATGGCTCAGGCCCACAGCTGCATATCTATGCATCACGTTGTATCACGGCCCCATGGCATTTGCACACCTACCGCATCATGGCACATGATGCCAAAACGAACTACTGGGGACAGCCATGAGCGCCTGTTACGCAAAGACTGCCCTAATGCGAAGCACTAGCGAATTAGCAAAGCCAGCTGAAATCAGCACCGAAAGACGCTCGCGTCTTGCAAGCTTTCGGGCCTCAAACATGGCCGCAAGGCAGCAAAGGCTGCTCCTGGAGCTCCTGCCGGGCCCAAGTGCGGGGCACGGCAACTTTGAAAAAACAAGAACAAGCGAACCATTTGGCCTGGAAGTTCTTGTTGTTTGGGAATGCCGTGTAAAAAGGTGGCTTGTCCCTGCCAGGTCTGCACACGTGTGTTCACGCTTTACGTGTCTGAACGATCATGCATGATGTGTGTTCAACCTGGAACTGACTGTGTACCTTAGCACACCAAGCTTCAAGGCTCATGTCTCAATCGCGTAAGGATTCCGAAGCAGTCTATGTCAAAGAAACTTACTACACATGAATTTGCGCGTTGCAGGATAGGAGCTGTGTTGCGGGTGCCACAAATCACCATCATAAAGGACATCAAGAGTTCAAGACCAACAGTGCGGGCCTGAGCAAATATACCATCTTGCTCGTGTAGCCCTCACGCAAATCCCCAGAGTGGTCGCGCGGGGTGTGCATGGGTCAAAATGTAACGCCGGAGAGAAGCAAACTGCAACACAGCGTCGAATCTGGTATTCATATTTTGTCATCTAAAATCTAAAAAAGGGCATGCTTAATGAAGAAAGGGCGCCCACGTTGGATACAAACATGCGAGCAAATTCAAAAGAGGTAACTCATCCACATGCTTGTAGTTCGTCTTCGTGGGAGAAAGGTCAATGACTGAGCAAACCAACCATGCCAACATATGCCAATGGACCGCGTCACCAGGGCACACACTCCCACAGCACGCATAAAGGCACACACACACACACTCACTTGTCTCGGTCACTCAACGAGCCGCACTTTTGGTTTGGTTGCTGGGTTTGCTCCCTTATGAGAATTGCCGCAATCCTCCTGTCTTGCACTGAAAATTTTGGCTCTGAAGCAGTGCTTCAGCTCTCGGGCTTTGCAAAAAAAATCAATGCAAGCTTCACATGCATTGATTGCACACTCCCAACGACTCAAGTTGCCATGCCGTGTTTTTGCTGCGTGTGGGAAAACTGCAATGTCAAGCTTACACATGCACAGTCACAAGGTATCAAGTTGCCATGCTGTCTTTCAGCTGCTTGTGGAAAACTGTCAAATCAAGCAAACACATGCACTGACTGCAAAACCGCTCATGCTCATGTTTGACGAGGAAAGCTGTTATGGCGACACCGGCCGTGTAAAAGGTCAACTGGTTGGATCAATATCACTTCCCAGCAAACCGACGCTCAAGCGTTCTTTTGACTCGAATCTGGTAACTCACAACTCAGCTCAGCAATTGAGGTCTCTATATACTTCAACCAATAACAAGGAACATTCCATAGGAGAGAAACTACCTGCAATATTGACTTGTCAGACGCTAGTAGGAGCTCCCTTCATTTTACACCATCATCAAAAGTTCAAGAGGAATATTTGACCCGAGAATAGCTCAGAGGTCAGCGATCGCATTGTGAAACGTAATGTAGCACACTCAGATGGCTCAGAAGCTCAAAGCTTTGTAGTCATGAGCCTCGGGAATTTCCCAGAAGGCCATCCTCCCCGTAGCGCGCCAAAATGGCGATCGGGTGGTGTGCACTGCCTCAATCCATGGCATCAATGTCGACGGGAAATGAAGCATCATACGCTTCGCCAGCTCCGACCCTGTTCTCAATCTGCAACAAGTCCTGGCGAAAGATGGTGGTGCGGGCCACATTCTTCCAGCGATCCACGTCTTCCTTCATCTTCTTGTCACGTATGGACCCATTGATGGTCCTGATGACGACTCTGCTGTATCGCTTCTGGTACTCCTGTCCCAGCTGTAGGCCCATTTGCACTGCCAGGTAAAGCAGCTCAGGATCCACCCGGTCACGGCGTTGCTGGCCTTCATAAAGACCTTCAAGACAAAAGTGGTAGACACCGTCGACGAGACGCTCACTCGGCATATTGCGATAACTGACATAGCGGTACTTCTTGATGCCAAGTGCATTGTACAACAACGCCCTCACCCTCGAACTGATGAGGCTCCTTTGTCCTGCGCCCTGATTCGGTCGAAGCTTGCGGTAGCCATCTTCATTGACCGCGATGAAAGGAGTAAGGTACTCATTGACATTCATGGTAGTGTAGGCCCAAAGGAATATGTTCCACATCATCTCGTGAACCTTGATGACCTCGTAGCTCATGTCCAGATTGTCACAAGGCAAGAGCGACGAATCAGAGGTTGTGAACTTCGTCCTGAGCATTTCCGCATTCCTAATCGTCTGATACTCAGCCCTCCCACCATCACGCGCCCAAGTGATGTACTCTTCCTTGGTGGGTGCACGAGGAAGCTTCGTATCTGGATCAATG